TATTAGAAAAGAAATGCTCAAATTCCATGATTTAAGCTCCCATCTTAAACTGGACAGAGAAGAGCAAATTTGCTCAAAGAAAATATAAGGGAGAAAATCATAAAAAAAATCCATAAAAGAGAAAATAAGTACACTATAGGGGGAAAAAAAAAATCAAAGCCAAAAGAGGGTTCTCTGTTTGAAAAGACTCCTAAATAAACAAACCCCTAACAGTACTAATAATCGCTCCTTTAGAAATGCAAATCAAAACCATATCACCTCACCCCTGCTAGAATGACTACTATCAAAAAGGCAAGAGTTAAGGAATGCTGGTGGGGATGTGGAGAAAGTGATTGGTGGGAATATAAACTGGTGCAGCCACTATGGAAAACAGTATGCAGCTTCCTCAAAAAACTAAAAATTGAACTACAATGTGACCTAACCATTCCATTTCTGGGTATATATCCAAAGAAAATGAAGTTACTATCTCAAAGAGACATCTGCACCCCATGTTCATTGCAGCATTATTCACAATAGGCAAGACAGGGAAACAACCTAAGTGTCCACTGATGGATGAATGAATAAAGAAATGTGGCGAAAATACACAATGGAGTATTATTTAGCCATTAAAAAAAAGGAAATCCTGCACAATGGAGTATTATTTAGCCATTAAAAAAAAGGAAAGACAAATACATATGATCTCACGTATATATGGAATCTAAAAACATCAAGCTCATAGAATAGAATGGTGGCTGCCAGGGGCTAAGTGGTGGGGAAAATAGAAAGATGCTTGTTGAAGGGTATAAACTTCCAGTTACAAGATGAGGAAGTTCTGGGGATCTAATGTATAGCATGGTGACTACAATTAACAATACTGTATTGTATCCTAGAAAGGTGCTACAAGAGTAGAGCTTTAATGTTTGCACCATAAGAACAACAATTATGTGAGGTAAAGGATGTGTTAAAACTTTATCGTGGTAAACATTTCACCACATATGCTTATCAAATCACCGTAACCTTACACAATGTTATATGTCAATTATATCTCAATAAAGTGGGGAGAGGGGAGGAAAAAAAATCACCCTGATGGAAGGTTTGAGCCTGGCAGTCAGAATATGTGGGAGCCAGGATAGCGGAGAGCTGGAATCCTAATGCCCAAAAGGGGTAGAAGAGTTCAGAAGGAACTCATTCCAGTTAAGCCCAGAGCTGTAAAGAACTTCAACTTCAGTTCTTTGTACAATGCGTGACACATAAATAAGTACTGGATGTGCAGACGTCCTCATGTAATACTCTATGGTTCATACAGGTCCATAATTTCTTGGAGCAGGAACTATTCTATAGAGTTTTTTCCTTCATTCTCTTGATAAACTGTGACCTTCATGAAAATGCAACTAGGAAAAAAAAAAAAAATCACTGCTTGCAGACCAAGGGAAGCAACACGGAAGCTTGCCATCCATCCAGGGCTTCAGCACAAAGGAAGGGAAAGGAGAACAGCAAGGAAAATACTAGAAAATACTAAAAACACCAACCTTGCACCAGACTCCATTGTGGCTTGCAAAGCTGTACTACCCACAAGGTGGTGGAATCCCAAGCCATGAAATTAATGTGAAGCCTGGTCCAAAACCACTGAAATACCAGTGGCTCCAGCAGAAGTAAACTAGAAACTGCTCAATTGCACTAGAGTGTGTGTGCGTGTGTGTGTGTGCACGCATGCGCGTGAATATGCACGCACGCACGCATGTGTAGGATGTGACTGAAAATGAGCACACAATTAAAAATTACACCCATGGGGCGCCTGGGTGGCTCAGTCGGTTAAGCGACTGCCTTCGGCTCAGGTCATGATCCCAGGGTCCTGGGATC